CTTCGCACTTGTGTCTTGGTCTTCAAAGTTGCTTTCGGGAAGGAGAAGATGATGGGAGTCATCAATGCAACCTTCTCGTTCATACTCACCACGGGCGCTCTCCGGGGTGAGTTCGTCTTGCTCCACATGGTTGTCATTGATCACTCCATCAACCTCCTATTTCTTCTCCAATAATGAGAGGCGCTAGCTTCCACAAGCTTGTGCCACTTTCTCTTCTAGTGTTAAACTAGGAGGAGGGAGGGGTTGCAAATACATGCCGGAGCTCATCCTTCCAAAGGTCTCATGGCTTGCCTCTACGACCTCCTCTTTCTTTTCTTCAAATGGCAGGAGGCGATTGTGAGCAAATTATGCACATGCTTGCTCAACAAGCTCTCCTTGCCTCTTCGTACGTCAAAGGAGCTCCTCCGATTCACTAAGAAAGGTTGAGTCGATAGGGCCGGTGATGGGAAGGTCCAAATTGGAACATCCCTCGTCGGTACCCCGGGCAAATTTCTACACCATGAGCACCCAATTTCTCTTTGGCTCCGGTTGTGGAGTGGCAGATGGTCTTGATGATTGTCCCATGAAGGCTTCCATGGACAACTCCAACTTGGATTTCTACTCGGGTTGTGGAGGGAAATCTTCTTGATATGGGGAAGCCTCTTCCTACCCCTAATGGTATAGTTGTTCTTCTTGGAATGGGGGTTGGTAATAGAACCCGGATCCTTGGCTTTCCCTCTATTTTTCACTCCATGAAGCTCCGGCATACCCCCATTCGGGTGGTTTTGGATACGCCCACCTATTGTAGAAGCCATTGGGATCCATGATTCATAACCTACACAACCAAAAACACAAAAACAAAATCATACAAACACAAACCACCCTTCAAGATAAAGAGTGGGTAAGAAAGCACAACACGAAACATAAAACACGAACAAAAAAGGCAAGATAGAAAATGCTAGAGTAAAACTAAGCGACATTGTCAAAATAATGGATCGCGGCTCCACGACAACGGCACCAAAAACTTGACTCGCACGAAACTACACCACAACTTAATCCCTACTATAGCCCAAGTTTTTAAACTCTAGCAGGGTGCAGTATAGGGCAAGCACACAAGATTTGGAAAGCACAACTAAGCACAATCACCATAAAGACACCTCCAATACTCAAATTGATGCAAACCCACACCAAATCATTCAATCCAAACAAGTAATTACAAAGTATTAGTTAGGGATCTACAACACCCAAGATAAAAAAGTGAATTTCTAGAAAGAGAAGAGAGGGATTACAAATTTGAGCTCAATATCTTCTTCTTCTTCTTCTAGGCTTGAATCCTTATCTTCAAGATCCACCCAAGCCTCCAATGATGCTCCAAAATCACTCTAGCACTCTCTCTCTCCCACTGGAACTCCGCTTTGGTGTTTTTGGGCAAAACCCTAGAGAGGGAATTGAATTTCTCTCCAAAAACCAGCTCCCCTTTCTCTCTCCTCACTGTTGTCTTCATATTTGCCCGTGAACTCAGTGTCGTCCAAAACGCACCGCTTCACTCTCCTATGTTTACGATCAATGGCCCCAATTCACAGTCTTAGAGACCGTGAACTCGCCTGGCGTCAGTAACTTCGGTAAGTGCCCTGGACATCTTGATGTTCACGGCGCATGCCTCCTCTTCATGGTCTTAGCATCCCATGAATTTCCTTGCTCGATCATGAACTGCGGCTATTTCCTGGACACCTTCACTTTACTGTTACGGATTCAGACATTTCTTCGATTTTTGCACTTTTTGACCTCCAATTATCCCAAAACTTGTCCTCGACCCTTCCACACGTGCTAGGACCTAAAATGTATCAAAACAAGCACAAACTAGCGTGAAATATGTCGAGGAACGATGAAATACAAAGCTAAACAAATAAGAAATGAGGGGTAAAATGTGTACATTTTGACCCGAATCACCCGAACATTGCCCAAATTGAGTTATCCAACCATGAAACAGTGGAGACCCTACAGATCATTAAGAAGATCCTCGAGGATCTTGTGCAACTTTGTGCACAGCTAGCTCAAGATCCCCTTATGTTACCATAGAAGAAGAGGAGGAGGATGAAGGAGGCTACAAGGACATTGTGGAGCATACGGAAGTTGTCACGGTGAGCTCCAGTGATGATCATGATCAGGAATATCCTGTTCCAGCCAACCACATCTTTCCACATCCCACATCGAGCTTTGAAGAGGTGGGCATGAGCAAGGAGATGCAAGATGATCTCATGAAAGAAATTGCTTGGCGACTTGCTCCCCAATTTGTGCCAGAAGAAGAAGAGCGAGAAAGGGTGAGGATGACGAAAATGAATTAGAGGAAGTTTTTGTTCTTTTCCAAGGGGAGGAATCAAATTTTGAGGAAGGAAGGGGGGTTGAAGAAGCAAGTGACTTCCAGCTGAGGACGAAGTTGTGGTGGAAGAGGCTTGCACCGATCATGAGTTACATGTGATATCTCCACCAAACTTCGAGGAGCTGCTTGGCAAGGACCCATTTGCAGTGTCTCTTTGGCAGACTAAGGCCACATCGACATCGGTTCCTCTAGGTGGACGTGATGGTGGCCAAACGATGTTGTAATATCTGGTTTGGGGCAATGAAAAGAGAGAAGAGAAGAAGAGGTCTCGACGGTGGAGACTTCATCTGCATTAGGTGCACGAGCCTTCATCACCTGTCATACCACATGCTCGTGACTTGAGACTCCACCTCATCGACGAGAACCTCAACTTCAAGGAGGTTTTGGGGTTGACCGAAACCTAGGAACCACCGTCCAGCTCAAGACGTGAAAGAAGCGCTTGTTGGGAGGCAACCCAACCAGTCGGTTTGCATTGCATTCCCTATTTCTTTCTGTCCTCCTGGAATGCACCTCATGGCGCGTCCACCATCAATAACACTTGATATGGTAACTTTGTTCTACCCTCCTTATTTTTCCTCCATTGAGGACAATCTTGTGCTTAAGTGTGGGGGTGTTTGATTATGTATGCGTGTGAATGTTTGGTTGTATGTGTGTGCTTGGAGCCTAGTCCACTGTCCAAATTTTACGATTTGAGGGATCCAAATAGGTGACCCTTGCAAATGTCTGCTCAGTATGCTTTGAATTGACAGTCTTTATAGTGATATGCAACGTACGGAGGTAGTGTAGCATTATGGAGGATGTTGATGGATTTAAGAAGTCTCATAACACTGAATTTGCACATGTTTTTACCCCTCATTCCTTGATTGTTTAGCTTGGTGTTTATCATACTTTGCCCTATTTTACGCTAGGTTGTGTTTCTTTGTCACATTTCAGGTCCTAGCATGTAAAGTGAAGCATAGGTGCAAGTTTCAAGTCAATCGGCGATCAATTGGCGATTCGGGAGAAGAAACTTGGGCATGACCTGAAGAAGAATAGATTTAAACCTCATTTATAGACAAAAAATCATGCAAGCTAGTCATGAAAGAAAGAGGACGAGACTAAGAGCGTTTGGGATCAAACGACTACTGATTCGGAGTCCGGACGAGGGAGAAACGAAGCATCGAATATAGTGGAACAGGTTCGGAGGAAGAAACACGGGCAGGAGAAACACCGCCGTGTTTTTCCCTCCTGTGCCAAGAAGAAACACGGGCTTCGAAACACGACCGTATTTCTGCCCCCTGCTCGGGTATAAGTATATTTTCTGCAATTTTAGAGAGAGAGAGTTGAGTTTTTGGATCCCAAACACCCAAGGGACAAACCTTAGAGAGAGAGAGAGAGAGAGAGAGAGCGACTTGGGAACATTCTTGGAGTTATTTTGGAGGATTATTTTTTCCATTGGAGCTCGGGAATCAAGATTGGAGATGGAGATTGAAGATCTAGATCAGATTTCTGCATTCTCTCTCTTCTCCATGGAGTAACTTCCTTTCACTTAGGTTTTGAGGAACCCTTATTCCATGTCTTAGGATCTTTCTTGTATGAACTTTTGGATGCTATATTGTTTCATTTTGATCAATTGAGGCATGATTTGTTGAGTCAATTGGATCTTGATCATATCCTTTTGATTTATGCTTTAACCTATGACAGATAGAATCTTATTAGGTTAAGAGAGCTTCCTTAATTGATAGTAGTGAACTGATTGTGCGAGAGTCAATAAATTCACTACTTTGTACTAGAATTCGTTCCAAGTAGTGGAGATCTGTGTGAATCGCCTTAGCTTTCTATCCCGGTGAAGGCTAGTCGCCTTCCGAATAATCTATCTAAGAGGGCTTGGTCAGGTTAAGAGATTCCAAACTACTTTCGGATCTTCCGCAGTCTAATCAACAGTAAAACAACCAAAGGAAATTACAACTAGGGCCTAATTGATGAGCTAGGGGGAATCATACCTAAGTGAATTCCCAACCTGTAATTAGTAGAGTAGTTTATTAAATCAATCATTAATCTAGTTTGCTAGATAATGAACTGAAGCAGAGTAATAGTAACTCTAGAGACCCGTGGATTCGATATTTATTACTTGTATCACTAGACTGCAGTCTCTTTTATTGGTTACACTTGGCCATTGTAAGAAATTGTGTTTTAGCGAGTCAAGTTTTTGGCGCCGTTGAAGGGTGAACCTAAGGTTACTAGCATTGGGTAGACTCCTCTGCAAATATATGTTAGTTTTACTTTTTTTTTATCAAAGGAACAGGAGGAGTATTGATCTTATGACATCAATAATGTGCAATTTTTCAAGAATCCTAATTCTTAATATCGTTCATTACATGGTGAAGTCACGGTTTTAACTCCAATGGCAATTTGTTGCTTTGCGTCCAATCATACTCCATGGGCAAGTTCTACCGGTTAAATGTCAATCAACTCATTTAGTTGGTTCATTCACCTAAACTGGCTAGTTTAGGTGATACCGGTTGATCCGGGTTTAGCAGCACAAATCAAACACGCTCGTTCTCATATTAATAATATGGCCTATGATTTTGATAAATAATTTGTAATCATCTTCATAAACACAACAGAATCAGTAGATTACAGTCCGCTTTAAATTTGAGAACTAATTAATATGCGATGCACAAGTATGAGGCGTCAACAACTGCACCATTGCCTGCATAAGTTTCACCATCATTTCCAAACCCAATACATATTCGGCGGTTTCCCTATATAGGCCTTCAATTCCCATTGATTCGCAGTTGGGTATTAGCGTCTTCAATGCTCCAACTCTTCTCTCCACCACCAGCGGCCGCCTAATTCCGGCTGCGGTGGCTTGCTTCCTCCTCTTGCAGCTTATTTTCTTCTTCTTGATCATCATAGTTCTGAAGACAAGAATACTATGTGCTTAACAAATGGGGGTTTCCGGGAATCGAACACAAGACCTCTCGGTCACAGAAGGCTCTGATACTATGTCAAAAACCAATTGCTCCTAAAAACTAGAGTTGCTGTGAGAGGTTCAATCGTGGATCATATACCACAAGCACTAACACGTTCCTCCTCCTTATGACAAGCACCAATACCGGACTTCCACCATTCGACGACCCACTTTCTTTGTCGCTAGAAATGGAGTCACTATATATTCGTTCATCACAACACTGTGTAAAAAATAAAATGGATGGGATGAGAATACTAGCAAGCTGGCCGATGGAGCAAATTGATATAAAGAGGAAGAAGGAAGAGTTGGCCGTAGGCAATGGCGATAAGAAGAGAATAACAAGTACAGATAAAGAGAAATTTATGTTTCTGCAGAGGGCAAGGGTTGCATTACATATATAGCCATGTATGTCTGTGTAGCTTATGATTAAGGACAATGGGATAGACATTCATCATTTATTAATAAACAACGTTATAACATAAGCATATGTCCATGTGTTTCTTTTTTGATCGATAATTGGAATCGAAGGAATATGGAGGCATGAGTCATGCAAGGCAACAGAGGTAAAGTGCCCGCGAACAAAACTATACGTTTGTTGCTTCATTCGGTAGCATGTTCTCCAGCTCAATGCACATGCGATCACATGCCCTCCTAATAACTTTTAAAGTACTCAATTCTTTCTCTCCAAACTATCACCTTCCATGCATTCTTCCATTTCCCGTCGAAACACCCTGGATTATTCCTATGACCCCCCTGATCTTCCAAATTCAATGCATTTTATGGCCTAGTTTGATCCTACACTAGTTTTTACAAATGAAGCTTTTGACTCTAGCTTTTAAATAAATACTTAAAAAATAAATAATTGAGCATTTGACAGACTGGTATGAACTCTGCCTCATATCACTGACACTTGTGCCAAAAATTTCAAATGCTTATCACTTGTCTGTATATAGACTCATAGCTTGTATTAATGTGATCAATAAGATTATTTCAAAGATATAAGCTAATAGCTAGACCGAAAGGGTTTTTCCTTCGGTCATTAGTAAGAACCAATCCACATTCATTCAAGGCAGAAGTCTCCTAGAGAATATTCTAATAACTCGAGAAATAGTCCAGAATTATATATAAAGGGTATTGCCTCTAGATAGGAGTGCAGTGAATGGACTTAATAAAGGCATTTGATTTTGTGAATTGGAATTATTTGCAATGTGTGATGAAGGTCATGGGATTTCCTAGGGATTTCTTAAATTGGATTACTCTTTGTTTGGATTCACCTCACTTTGATGATAGAGTGCATGGAAGCTTGTTTTGTTATTTTAAAGCCGATAAGCGCGTATTAGGCAAGGGGACCGGTTTGGGATTGAGCATTAGGTTAACATAACTTCTCCTATTGTGAGTGTCTTTTATGGTTTTTTTTTTCATTTTATAATAAGGTAATCAAAATGACACCATTTTGAGCTGGAAAAAATAAAATTTAAACTCTATTTTCTATTTTTAATAAAACTCTTGTTTTTTTAAAAAATTTCAGTCTTCAGCGATGAATATCTCCATCGCCAGAAATAAACAAATACCTTTCCATGCCAGTGCAAGCTGCTAGGGCTACTCATTTATGTTTCGCATATCATTTTTCTGATTTTTACAGAGGATCCACTTTTTCTTTATGAGGGGTACGAACTATTCTGGACAATTCTTATAAGCTATCTGGGCTAAGTGAAACCCATACAAGGATGAATTTTTGTTTGGAGGAGTGTCTAATGAGTTTAAATGGAATGCTCAATTAGTATCTTGTTTTAAAGAAGGGCATTAACATGTTCATTATTTGGGACTCACTCTGATTTCTGGTAAGCCGTTGAGTAAAAAATGAGAGGTATTGGTTGATAAATTGACAAGAAGGATCCGAAGTTGGAGGGCTAATAATTTTTTATATGCTGGAAAACTCCAACTTGTGGAGTCTGTACCAGCGGCGGATTTAGGGCTGGGCCAGGGCCCAACCCTCTCTGCCTACCCAGACCCAAGACTACTTCTTCACCGTCCACCTCATCTTCCACTACCTTCCTTTGGCGCACTAAGCGCTTCCACTTCTTGTCCCTTGCTCGTCCTTCAAGCAGACGCGGAAGAAGTAGCAAAAGAAGAATGGAGTTCCTCCATAGAGCTTGTGGTAGTTCTTGAATTCGAAGGGCAACGATGATGACGAGGGAGGAGGTGAGAAGAAGGTTGTTAAGGGCTGTTGCGGGGATGGAGGAGGTGGATTGGAAGGGGATACAACAGTGAATGGGACGTTTCTTGTTGGGGTTTTGCTCGTGGGAGTTGTTGGTGGGTTTGGGACTATTGTGTATGTTTACATGGATCAAATCAATGCGTTCTTCAATCACTTCTCTGGGTTTATTGACGGTAAGAGCCTTTGTTTGTTCCGCAAATTCAATTTCTTTTCATCTTGCTTTGAAGTGCTCTGTAATTGGAAGAACTTGTGCCTCACATAATGAATGGATAGTGGAATGGAAGAGTCGCATAGTAGGAATTTTCTTGATTGAGGAGTTCTTGGGAATTCTTGAACTAGAGGATTGAGAATGCTTGATAGTATTGTTTCCAATTGATCTACATTGTGGGGATGGAATTAAGAGTTTTCCTTGGATTGAGAAGCTCCCTTTTTAGTTTAGGTACTTTTCTTTGAGAATTGAGGCATTTATTGGGAAGATAGTAGAAATTTGAACGGAGAAGTTCAAGAATTGAACACAGTATGAAATTTAGCATTAGAATGATTAGTCTCATTGTGATGAAGTTTGTTTGACTACTTTGACATGTGAATTACCTTGCCATGTCAGTCTCTATCTGCTCCCCTCCCTTTCTACGGATCTTTTGGTTCTCCTTTTCCTTGTGGTGGCATGGGAAGGTGCTCATTAGTTCTCTATCCATCATTTAAAAATGTCTTAGTCATTTGGTTTTCTTGTGAACAGGTTATGGACTAACTGGATATGCTTTGTTTGTAGCAGTATATACAGGAATGGAGGTATGCGCTCATTCTCTTTTTTGGGCCATCATTTCAGTTTCATGTATCTAGTGAGATCTACCAGAAATTCTCTGTGTTCTTCATAGAAGTAGCTTGTGATGTGATACATGCACGATACATATAATGGTTTGGGTATCTAATACACAAGGTTTATCAACCTAAACTCACGTACTATAAGCCTTGAGAATATCCGGATGAATATCGTGGTTTCGAGAAGCATGGTATTCAGAATTTGTATGAATGAAGTCTCAGTTATTGATGAATTTGATAAATTAAAATACCTTCGTGTACAATTCGCATTGTAATGAAAATTATATTTATTATATACTTTTGTTTACAGTATCTAATTTTTATTGAAATGCGGCCCAGTGCTCTGCTATATCCTGGATCCGTCGCTGGTCTGTACTATATAGACCGATCCACTATTGGATGACAATATTTGTGCTCTTAACAAAGTGATTAAGCCTCTTCAGAAGATTGTCTCTAATTTTTCTAGTTTTGGATGGATTTGGGAGAGCAAAGCTGTTTTGAGATGCTCTGGCTTTACCAGACCAGGAAGGAGGATTTGTTTTCTTGGAATGTAGCATGTGTCGCCCGTTTACTTAGGTTACATGGGGCAATTTATGGTTAGCATAGATATATCATTACAGACTGAGAGGCACTACAGTTTGATATTATAAGATCACATCCACGAGGTCTGGCATCTAGAAACAACTAATGAAACTCAGTCCATGGTTCATATACATAATGGATGTATATATGTATGGGTGTTTTACGCGGGAAGGGAAGAAGAAGATAAGGTTTTCAGTTACAACAGTTTGGAACTCCTGATGAGCCCTAACTTGGTCTCGATTATCAGAATCATGCATCTCTTCAAATTCAACAATCAAATTAAAACTTGACAAAAGCAGGGTAGGTGTTTAGGTGTCTTGGATGGAACTTTCGTGCAATATTACACAAGGAAGAAGGCTCGTGTATATGTGTGTAATTGAACCGTACAAGCGATCAATCAACTTAGAATCCACTAAGCAACTCAGCAAATTTACGACGCAAAGCTCAATGAACCAAAACTCAAAGGTTTGTATTCAATCAACGAAATCTGACTTATAATGCAATAGAAAATGATTTAAATAGAACTATCTAGGCTATCAAACTACAAACGATGTCAAAAGTACAATTGAACTCGGAAATCAAGGCTAAAAAAAATGAAAAAGAATAGAAATCATAGTGTACAAGGAAACAATATTTCTTGTGGTGCAAGACAGAATTTGAGGATTCACACGATCTTGCACACGTTCCTTCACAGCTTTAGAGGTACGCCCTTGAGCATCCAATACCTTTAGGTTGCTCAAAAAATGTTGTACTTCCACATACCTAGTTCCTTTTGCTTTGAATCTTCCTCCTCCAAATCGAATAAGCCCTCAAAGTTGGGTTCGCGAACTCGGCTTCAGACTTGGCCAAAATTGGCATTTTCTCTATGTCTTCATAGCAACTTGTACTATCTTGTTAATAACCTTAGGGACTTGTCCTTTGGCCAACAAACCTTCCACTATGTAGATAACTCTTTTTCTTCAATGGCTAACTCTCCATTTGTATTTTCACTAATCCAATTGTGAGATATGAATCTCCAAAGTAGGCACCATGAAACGAGTTTGACATTTAGCCAAATTCTGCCTCTTTTCTTGCCAACTTGGATCGCCTCTTTGGCATGTAATAAAAACTTATGTACTTGGATACTTGGGATCATATCAGGTCTCTTTCTTCAAAAAGCTTTTTCCCGAAAGCTTGAAACTTCCTGTGCTCAAAATACTCACTAACCTGTTTCCAAACTACATAAAAAATAGAACACTCAAACTTCTTTTTAGTTCACAACCTTGTCAGCTTCATCTTCTTTCTCGATCTGCTTCAGAGGGTTTGAAGCTTATGGCGAGGTTAA